CATAGCTTTTGTGCCTGGGAGCTTGGCATTTGTCACCTTACGTCCCAGTTGTGTGTAATATATGATGGGCTTTTCTAGTGAATTTAAACCCAGGCAAACTTACAAACACACACTGTGGTCCAGATATGGCAAGAGGACACCACACACAAAATGTCAGCTGGCCTAAGCAAGTCTGTTCAGCTCCCATTGCAGTACCTGCTGGAAAACACTCCACAAAACAGAAAAAACAGACTTCCCCCAGAGGCATTTTTCTTACTCTGAAGCCTTGATCTCCTTATGAAACAAACGTGGTCAGAGATGATGTTGGGGCTGCGTCCTGCTACAGCAAATGCATTCCTGCAGATGTGCATCCCATTTTGCTTTGGCCTTGCTTGCACCTTAGCATTTGTTTTCTGGGAACATCTGAGTGATTGAGGGTGAAGGCCTGGCCCCATGCAGCTCTGCCATCTCATTCGATGGAGTCAGTATTTCACCCACGCTAACAGTGACAGAGACTGAATGTCAGTGCTGCATGCACAAACTTTCACAGAAATCAATTCTCACATACAGCATTAATATTGGAAGTGCTTCATGCTCACCTAATCGTTGGCCAGGCACAATAACCTGTGACTAATAGCCATTCATGGTTATACAGCACAGCCCGATTATAAAAATCTCCCATTAAACCATAACAAAAAAAAACCCTCAAGCTGTTAATTGACCAACATGTATTCCTGAGGAAATCAGAGCAATAAGATGGCTGTTCATTGCACAGAAAGGGAAGGTACAGCTAGCTTGTGTGTTGCTTTTATCAGTCATCTGCTCTGATCTACTTTTGATTATTTTTACCACATGTGAGGTCAGTATTGTAAATCAAAGATTTGAGAAATAAGCCTGTGCTTAAAGTGACTCAAATTAAAAGCCAATTGCTGACTTCTCTTACTAGGCAGCTGTCCATTTCTGTGCAGGAATACACATATGTTAAAGGCTGTCATACAGCTACAGAAGCAACCTGGTTAGCTCATGATCTGCCTTTGCCAATGTTTAAGGTCAGCTACTGGAAAAAGTTACAAAACAGCTATTACAGCCAGGTATGCTCCTGCAGAAGGGCCTTCACTGAGGACTGTTACTCTTTGCTAATTTTTGTGCAAGTGGGTGAGACTCTGCCCTGGAAAAAACAGCCTGTGATTTGTAAAACAAGGACAGCAAGACGTGTGCAGGTCAGTTTTGGGGTTGGTTGGTTGGTTTTTTTTTTTTTTTGCCATTCATTTTCCTGTCATAAACTTCCCTTTTTTTTTGTTGACAAATGGGGACCGTTCCTGAAAATGGTCAGGACAGCTTGCTCATGTGGCAGATTTTCTTCTCCTGCCATACCCTTGAAGTGTTACGGGAGCTTGAGCAATGCTCTTCCTGGCCGACACTGAGGGCAGAGGCCCCAGTCTGGCAGAGAGGCTGCAGCATCACCATTGCAGCCCAAGGCATTCTCAAACTTTACCTAAATGTGGCGACCCTCTGGCATCACCGCTCTGGTCAGCAGCCTTCACTGGAGGACACAGACTTGGAGTACAGCTCAGAAAAGTTGTTGGTGACTATAGGAAAAAAAGCAAGCAAGCAGACCATAAATCAGGTCATTGGATGAATTCAGAATGCACTAATAAAATCAGAGCTTCCAATAAATTTCATTTCAGACAGAGTAGAAATGGTTTCTCAGTTGAGAATTCAGGACAGATTATAATTTCAGATGTGTGTCGGGCCAATGCAGTATGTCTACAGAAATGTTTGCAGGCAGCAATGGCTAGTCCAGAGTCAGGCCCTCACACCAGTTTGCACTTTAGTAGGATTGAATAAAAAGGCAAGAAACTCTAGTACTCTGAGCAAAACTGAATCTAATTAAATATTTAATATATTCCCCCCCACCCCCCCCGCCCAAATCCTTTGGTTTCTTGCTCTTTCATACTGTGATATGATGACATTTGAACAACAAATGCGGTCTTGGTATGTTGGTCTCCTGGTACTGCTTTTTATACGAAAAGCTTGCACATCCCAGCTGAAGTCCAGATGCTGCATTTATGAGGCATTTTGTCATGATCAATTTTTAAAAAATATTTTTCCATCCCATGAAATTAATAGGCACCTGGGGAAATACCAACCAACTCCTCCCCACCCCTGCAAATACTAACCTTTCCCAGATGGGAAGGGATTTCTTTCCCTTTATTTACCTGCAAGATGTCCTTGCTGGTACTCAGAATCACAGAGGGAGAAGGAAAAATAAGAAAACCTTCATAAGTTGAAAACATTACACAGCAATTGCACATACTCCCAACTAAGAACACTGCCTTCTGAGGATCCATTATACTGAATAAACTCTGCATAATCTTCCCAGGGTCACAGAGTGAGTCATTAGCAAGATGGCTCTAAGACAGAGGCATCCTGATTTTTGTAACTACTTTGATTACTTTAAGACCCCAATTTAAAAGGCCATAGGTTTGTGCTGGCAGCACAGTCATAGAGATAACTACTCATGGCTTTAGAAATTGGTTTTCTTGCAATCATCTCACTGCTATGGGCCTGCAGACCTTTTTTGTCTTTTTTACTTGTGTTCTTTTCAAAATTATTTATGTTTTTTTTTTTTTTTTTTTCTCTTTTTTCCTTTTTCTTTCCCCTACAAACCCCAAAGCAAGCCAGAGCAGAGCAGGAGCCTCTCCTCTGCCTTCAGGTGCCCACAGCAGGACTGTATGTGCCTCTCCACAGCCCTGAACACTCAGGCCAGCTCTGTGCCCTGAGTCTGAGACCAAACCTTGTGAGCATGTTCCTGCCTGCCAGCATCAAGCACCTTTCATGTGCTCATCAGCTAGAGCTGTGGCTATGGATTGGTCTTCCAACATAGACTTTAGGATCCTTAAAACCAACCAATTGACCCAGGAACGCACCTGATATAGGAAAAAGCAAAATTGCTTTAAATTTCTTTTCTTGCTAAGCTTTTCCTTATTGTTGCAGTTTCCTTTCAGAATGGCAAGTCCGTAGGTGGCTGCTTTGGCATCATCATTAAAAACAAAGCAGTTTAAAAGCTGCTGTTATGGCTGGTTAGCCTTTGGCTGCCACATTCGCTCTCTGTTAGTAAAGGGAGAGTTTTTCTTGTACTTATTTGCTAACAAATGGTGAATATTTGTTTTCATAGACTTCTGTGGTATTTGCACCCACCACATCGCCCAGCAGATCATGCTGGAAAGAGGACCATCTGGCTAGAGCCATCCAGCCACCCCATCGCCCTGGGTAAGTGAAGGCTGGTTCAGTGTAGACCGAAACAAGTAACTGCTGAAAATGGTCACTTAACACCTTTTAGATAGAACAAACACAAGTACTTTCTGAACAAAAATGTGCCATCATTTGTGTTGCAGATGCACATTTAAATGTCACTAAATGCACCTATTACATTACAAGTATTTGTAATTTCTCATTATGACCCTTAATGCCTGACTGAAAATTATTGAGGGAAGTCTGTTTCAGCAGGTACTGCCCCTTTCACAGCAGGAACACCTTTAGCCATAGTCTGACACTTGCATGTCAAAGGCATAGTTAATTTTAAAGCAGAAAAGCAGCACAGGCTTGCAGCACATGACAGCTGTATGTGTTTTGACTCTTCATTTCATATATAAAGCCATCCAATGGAAAAACCCACATCAATAACAAGAAATCTAACTTGGCTTCTGCACTAGGAAAAATACATTTTGAGCTGCTGGGATTTTTTTTTTTTTTTAAGCACCAAGTTTTTCCCTTTAAATTTTTTTTTTTTTTTTCATTTTTAGTAAGAATGATACAACGAGGTGCTATTGTATTGTTGTAACACGCACAGTAATTTCAAATGATTAATACCTTGACAGCATAATCTCATAACAAATAATTTTAATCCATTATCTAAAATCAACTTTTAATTAAAAGAATACATCATATTTGTTTTCTGATACTAAATTACCCCGATTATTTTAAAATTACGTGTGATGTTGGCACATAGTAAACACACAACATGTATATTTCTGTTGGGCTTTACTGTCTACCTGAAATGTGATTTTCAATTATTAAGCATTAGTAAGTATTTAGGAATGTCCTGCTATGTAGGGTCTGCAATTAATTTTGCCAGGAATTATCTCTATCTTTTTGTAGCATGTTTTAGAAGGAACACACTATCTTCCTTCAAAACGGTACTGTATTTGCACAAAATTGGTATTTTTTTCCTAACCTTAACAAGAGAGGTTCACAGGAACCAGAGCCCAGCTGAAACCTGGGTCAAGCTCCAATAGAGGCTTCCATACGGGCATATATTAACATGTTTTCAAATCCACTGCATCTTGTTGGTGTGTCATATGGGGCAACCCGGACTGTGTACTACTGTCTACTACCGCATGCCAGTTACTTTGACATGTTATATTTAACTCAGGAGGCTGAAAGTCATCTACAGACACTCACTCTCCCTCAAGAATGTGTGTGTCAACATGTGGCTGCAATGAAAATGGGACACCTGTGTGCAGCACCGCCACCTCTCCAAGTCCCCTGTAAGGCTGAAGAGAGGATGTCTCTGTGCCTTCTTCACTGAGCTATTAAAGGCAAGCAGAGCTTTTCCTCTACTGTAATTCCTACAACAATGCACCTCAAACTAGCTTCACTAATAATGAAATTAGACACTTGGTACATTGGAATATTTTATTTTGACTTTACATGCGGTGTTAAAAACCCAAAGAACGTATTATTTACACATCCACAATACAAGTTTACAAGATATCTATACATGTTAAAGTACTCTATAGTATAGAGCAGCTTCATTTAAGGGTTACTTTTTTTTTATGCCGTACCATTAAAAAAGATACAATCTGCGTTTACCTTTGCACAAATGGATAAAGCATCTTTTATTATTAAATTAACAGAATAAGGACTAGGTTGAATGTTAGAAATTTCAACATAAATACTGAGAGAACTCACATTACCATCTACAAGGCAGCACAATGTTACAGGAGGTTATCAGGGTTCACATACATTTATCGTTCGGTTTCACACACATCTGTATTAATATTTGTAAAGTGAATTCGGATCAGTTTGTGTCTTTCGACAACTGAGTATATTTTTAATAGTTATTAATCCGTAGTGTTTTAGTTTGCAAGACAGAAGTGTTTAGGAAGAAAGATCATTGATTTTTGGATCCAGAGGTCTCAGGAAATAAATGTCCCTTACAGCCTTACAAGAAAAAAATGACTACTTCTATCCTTTATTCTTTGTTTTGTAACAGAGATCCCGTTTTCAGTGACTAACCTTTTCTCCCCTTTGAACACATAATATAAATCTCCACCGTCTCTGAAACCCATTGCGGTTATTTGTCCTGCTAATTCATGAATATTCCTCTGCCATGGTTATTTCTATAGTTATGTTCAATAAACAATGTGGTAGTGTGTAGTTTGCAAGCTAAAATAGCCATCTGTGTTGAACATCAGCTGCAAGTGGATACTGTAAAACCTACTAAATAGCTTACACAACTTTAGCAGGTGTTCCATTACCCTAGAAACCTCATTTGATTTCACATTATAACTGTTCGATCCTTCAGAGAGCTGGAGTGGAATGTTTATCATGGTAAGGTGATTTAATGCTGCTGTCTTCTTGGATTGTAGGCTGCCTTTAGTTACCATTAATTATTCTTGCTTTTTATCTTTTTTTTTTTTTTTTGGGTGCTGTTGAGAGGTTTTACAACTGGCACTCGGGAGATATGTGCTATAGTGAGAACACTTGACAGATTTATTTATTTTTTTTTTTAGTACTTTTATCATTTGCATGAATAAGGCACAAAATGCACAGATTCAGGTAAACTCACACATAATATTTACAGAGTATTGTCATTACCTGCATGACTTTGGAAAAAAACCCTTACATTACACAACAAAAACAAATTGATTGCACTACTGTTGAGTTTTCACAGACTGCTTCTGCCAGGCCAATTAATGTTTCTTCTTTCTTATTGACAAGAGTCTATCAGTGTGTAGGGCATTATTAAATGCAACAAAACCTGTAACCTTCTCTAGTTACACAGGCCTTGGCCAAGTGAATTGATTATTAGCTGCCCTCAATGAGAAGTACAGGGGCTCAAGTTCACAGTGGCCAGGTATTGGATGGAGGCACTGTGGAAACACAGTAAAACTCCCCCGTTCCAGCCCAAACTAGATTTGAAATGCACAGCTCTGAATCAATAGCAGCATAACAGAGTTATGAAAACTTAAACATATCTGCACTCTTTCACTAGGTGACTATTTCGTCAAGACGTTATCATTCAGAAGGCTGGCAGAGATGCGCAGTTCATACTTAGCTGTCTCCAAACTGAACCCAACGGGCTGCAGAAGGCAGAGTCATCTGTTTGTTCAGTCATGCTCAATGTAAACAATTCCATAGCATAAAAGATGCAATGGGAATCTAAGTACATCCTAGTGTGTACAGTACACACGCACATCCACACACACGCACAGCTTTATCTGTGGCACAAACAAAATGCCACACACATGGAGAGAAAAAAATAATAATGCTACAGTTGGGCCAGAGACTGAATTCCAGCAAATTGATTATTAACCCAGATATTCATTGAGACATTACCATTTTCTGACATTTGTGCAAGAGGCAAGGTGAATGCATACATATTAAAATGTTCACATTTAATGGGAAGGACCACGCTTAATGGCAGTCTAAAATGGAACCCATTTTTCAAGTATTTGCTTACTGATCTTTTCCCAATAACTTTTTTTTTAGCTATTTAGAACAGTAAAGTAGCCCCCACCCCATTGTGCTACATGTCTCCTTAGCTCCAAACAAAAGAAATGTAATGACCAGCACTTTCCTTTGTTTTTTTGTGTTTGCTTTTAGCAAGTACACGAAGTCTTGCTACAGCTACATGTGGCAAGACACAGATGTTGCTGAAGTAAAAGACAGTTTCTTTGGCCACTTTGTTCTCTTTAGTAACAAGCAAGTCTCTGTCTTATGTGTCTACCACAACATCATCTCACAACCTGTACAGGTCAATGCCACACTCATTTTTAGCACAGATGTGTCCTAGTAACTGTATTTGTTCAGCGGTCTGACTGAAGTTGTCTGAGGAACGAATGAAGGTTTTGGTGGCACATCGGGTTTTAAGGAGGGTGTCCTCTTTATTCCTGTACGAGGAAGGGTGCCGTTGCTTGTGTAACTGCTTTGCCTGGACAAGGAAGGCTGGAGGTGAACACTGACAGGCGTCCCTTGCATGTAGTCCATCTTTGTGCCTGCTGTGGGAGGCATGTACCCGCCACGATTAATACTAGGCTGTCTGGATAACAAAACACCATTTGGTGAGTTTAAGTTTTTAGGAAGGGCAGATATTGAATGCCTTTGTGAAGAATTTTTGTGATAACCTCTCTGCCTTTCCAAAGAGGTCATTGGTACTGCAGGAGTGGTGGGAACATCCACTCGTTTTGTGGGGCTGTTTCTTGGAAGAGTTGATGGAGGAGAGTATAAAGATGCCTCCCTGTTGGGAACCTTAGGTGGGATCTCAGACATATTTCCCATTGGATCCAGCATTAAAGTCTGGTGGGCCACTTGAATATCTCCCATAATGGCTTTAGGATTACTTGTAGTTTCATTTAAGTGTTTCAGAAAATCATTCAGGGTGTTTCTGGAATCAACAGATCTCCTGTGGTCTCTTTTGCTGGATGGTTTTGTAAGTGGATGATCCACATGTTGCATCTTTTTGTCTGCTTTGTGCGCATTAGAATTTGAGAAAGATGTATTGTAATCATGGGTAGCATTGGGAAGAACGATAGCACTAGGAATATGTCCATGACTTAGAGGAGAGTGGGGTGGAGGACTGGACGGAAAAAACTGAGGGCTTTTTAGTGGAGTTTCCTTTCGTGAAGCATTGAGGTTACTATGCGCTTTGTCCGACTGAGTTTTCATAGCCTGCAGAGTCTTTTGTTGAAGAACTGGAGTAGATTCAGGAGTTGGAAGCGCAGCTAATTCTGGAGGCTGGCCCCTGTGGTCCATCATCATGGACTTTGTATCACCGTTTGGCGGCAACTCCTTTCTGCTAGTCAACAGGTTTGTGTAAAGTTTGGGTGAATCAATGTTTTGTTGATATTCCTTGACAGGACTATCAAACAGCCCATTCAGTTTAGCAAAGCTCCCGCTGGAGTCAGTACAGGACTGAGCCGATTCTGCATCTTTGTGTATTTTTCTGGATTTCCGTACAAATATATCCCGGTAACAGTAAACGGCCACTCCCGCAATAAAGGCTCCCAGGACAAAAGCGGCAAAGACACAAGTGATTAGGACATTCATATGTACCATTTGGTTGGACTCTCCTGATTGTACTTCCCATCTTACACCTGCAAAAGACATGCGGTAGGTCATAAATCTACATGTACTTCACAGATGTACGTTTCAGAAGAAGGTAGCCTCCCTCAGGGAAGTGCCTATCGTAGTGTCTGTAAGTGCTCTGTGTCTACTGTTAGTGTAACTCAGCTGGATCCTGCAACCCACAGCACTGGTGAATGCAAATAATTTTATAAATAAAAATGACTGTGTGAGCATTGATCAGTCTAAATGAAGACTGTCCATTTTCTTTGATAATGAGTAATGCTTGTCAAAGGTTCTCTCCTCATATTACGTTCAGTTTAGCCTGTCCCCAAATTTCCTTTAAGGCTCACAAATAGGGGCCTGTATGCTATTAACATTAATGATTTCTGCTGGAAAATTGAGGTTAGAAGGTGCTACTGGGCCAGAAAGCAATTAATAACTCATGGATGGATTTCCCTCTCAATTTTCTTCCCAACTCATAAATCAGTATCAAAAGAGAGACAGGATTATGTAAATGTTGTGTAAAACTGCATAATGTGCATACTGCATTGTTATTATAACCATGTTAATATAATGCGGTGCAAAACTTGTGACCAAATACATCCGTAGGTTGCTAGCCTTCAAGTAGCACACCTTGCATTATCTAAGTGTACAATTGTTGAAGTTCAAGATTGTCATTCTATTGAAGCAATATTTTTTTTCCAGTCAATAATGAACATAAATACTTGCACAATATTAAAAAACAGCAACTTGCAAGGTTAAGTTATCAGAGAATGTTAAAATGTAGAAAACTTTGAGCTTAGATCAAGAAGTTGACTATTGGATTAGTTTTTTATTTGTGTATTCACAAGCTCCTTTTGTTTTTTTGAGATTTTTAAAGCAACCACAGACATCTTGCAGCTAAGACAATGTTAGTTTTTAATGAAAGTAATTCTGTTAACTATCCCAAGGGATGTTAAAATAAAGCAGCAAGAGGGAAGGAACAGATTCACTTCTGTCAGCGGCAAGGCCTTTGAACATTGTTAATGTTCAGGGTTATAGGTTTTAATGGCACTGTGCAGAAGAAGAAAGAAAACATGAATAAAGTTCACTAATAGCTATGACACAAAATGTGATTCAGAACCAAGAGCAAATGATAACAAAAACTTGAAGCAAAACGGAAAATAACTGCAACAAATTAAAATGACAAATGCACTGCCATAATGGCTGATAGGAAACCTGATATGTTTTGGTGAATGGTAATAACACACAAACGGTTTTAGGCTGGTGAGATTTTCAGTAAATACAGAATTGTGCAAACATGTCTGTCACTTTGCTATTCTGTGTACTGATGAAGACTTGGATTAAGTTTTGGTTATGGGATTGGAAGCTTCTCGAGTCTTTGGTTGACTGCAACAGTCCTACTGAATTAAAGTCTTTGTTGCAGTAAAAGCCGAATCAAAGGTTCACTTATCTGAAAGCATAGCTACAGAAAGATGAATTACATGCAGAATATGTTTCTTTTTGTGTTCGGCTTAAAACCTCTGTGTGTGTCTCTATGAACTGAGATCATCTGTAAACTGACACTTATATCCAAAGAACAAAAATTCAGCACATCCTTACTCAGATCCAGTCCATGTTCTTCAGGAACACGCTGCAGGCAGGCAGAACCTGGGATATGGCCCACTTAACACATGGATCTGTCACAGAGATGTGCTTCATCTTCTGTTCCCCCAACCTGACCCCCTAAAAAACCCCACCCAAAACCAAAAGGAAAAAAATCCCCAAACACTAAGCCCTTGTAAGCAACCTTTCATGAGGACTAATAGTCTTGCCAAAACTAGACCGGTTTGAAAACAACCACTAGAGATGTAGATAAGTCTTGAATGTAATTTTTTTAATACATCCAGAAGTCCGACTGATTTTAACAGGAGCTTTGGAGCACCCCAGGAATAAAAGGCTGAGTTTATTATCTGTGTTTCCCATTATAAGCTCTAAGCAGCACTGTGTACACTGGATAAGTAGGTATGAAAAACATGATTGCACTGTCTGCATATTCAGAGGAAATGGGTGCAAAATACAGCCCAACAATCATGGCTGTTACGTTTAAGCTTTAGACAATGCTGAGACTATCAGGTTTCCATTCAGCTGCAATGTATTCCCTGGTAAGGCCTTACCCTTTGGGACACCTGATAATGGATCAGAATAATCAGAAGTGTTTGGGTCATCTTGAACTACAAATTTCCGAGAGCCAGTCACTTTAGGTTTCCAGGAACCAATCACTTTAGGTGATATAACTGGGATACTTGCCATTGTGGTAATGGAAGCTGAGGAGAACTCCATGTCTGTGGTGGCAAACAGATTTTTATTAATGTGTATTATAGTCAGGCTTTCCTCACTGTTTCATGGCACATCTAAGCTATAGCTGGAGACAATATTTAATGGGAGTTACATGACAGAGCAAAATGTGACCCCCTACACTCTGCATAAGTACAGAGGGCTGATTAAAATCAATTGGTTCAAAACTTTTAAGTACAAAAAAAAAAATACATTAACACATCAACAGCTGCTAGCCAAAAAGCCAGAGAAGTCAAACATGAAAGCAGTACAAAAGTTAAAGTAAGCAACTGGTGGAGATGAAAAGCACAACTTATTCTACTTAATTGCTATATTCTTCACTGGAGACAACATACTTGGCTGCCTTTTAAACATCTTCAAAAAAAAAAAAAAAAAAAAAAAGAAGTTACTTGGAAAGATATACACTCATGACAGGTTACGCCTGAGAAACCAGATCAGCTCCATTAGAGCTATTATGGTATACCAGGAACTGCTGAATGAGCCATTTCTACAGGTGGGGATGAAAGGAATGTTTTAACCCCTATTTTGTAATGGCTCCTAAGGAACAATGTTGCATAGATTCTGGCTCCTCTGTCGTACATTTGCTGAACAGAACCATCTTAGCCTCGTGAAAATGCACATGAGGAGGAAGCACATCAAATAGGGTTTACAATCCAAAGTCTGCTTTGCACACGGAAGTATTTTGTGTTCACTGTCCCAGGAGGTTTAGGCATGAATGTCTACAGCTCAAGATCTGACTGAGAAATGTACTTCAAAAGCGCCTCACTCAGGACTTGAAAATAAGGTTCATTTGTGTCTATGTCCTAAAATACCACTTTGAAAAATCAGTTGATAAAGTAAATACTCATGCAAGCAAGGTAGCATTTCCATGTAACACAGTTCTCTTTTGTTTTGCTATCCTAAGTGAGTCTCTAACTTACATTATGGGCAAATACATCTGGAAAACACTTTTCTCAAACATTACTTCTTGTCAAGTTACAGAAGCGCAAATATCAGAAGACAAAACACAAAATAATTTTCTTGTTCTTGTTGCACTCTTACAAATTTAACACACAAATAGATTATTTTCATATTTGTCAGTCAGAAACGTGCCCTTGGTTTGAAAGGAGACACCCAAGTTCCAGGAGCAAAGACTGGAAAATAGGGGCTCAGTCTTGCTCCTGTTGAAGTCAACAGAGGTTCTGCTTTTGAGTTCAACAGAAGAGCACTGGGTCCTGTCTCCCCGAACTCCAGGGGCTGACAGTGGAAACACTATTAGAAAAACCACTGAAGGAGAAAAGGATGGGAAAATCCATCTGACACCAACGCATAAAGTTTTTTCTAAGCCACCTTCGTCTACACAAGTCCTCATTCAGCTACACAGTCTGAGATGTTAAATTTCTTCCATTAGCATCAACTACTTAAAACATTTCAAAAATATAGAAATACACATTTTAGAAAATGTGTATTTGTGCAAAAAGCTTGCTGGGAAAGAAGGAAAAGAGGAAAGAAGAGGTAAGGAGGAAGATGATGAAATTCTGCCATTCATCTACTAGAGATGACCAACAGGGGCATTCACAAATGCATGGCTGGGGATAACGAGTAAAGCTTAGTGGACTTTCGTGCAGTGAAGATGTCATCTATGTTAATCAGGCTCTTTAATAAAAGATGTCTCAATAAATAATGAGCTGTTAACATGCGGCTACACAGGGTGAAGTGCTGAGTGAGAAGAGTCTGACTATCTTTACCATCAGTGGGAACATGAGTAAAAGCACAGAAATGGAGGATTGCCAACTGTGCAAAAGGAAGGAAAAAAGGGCTGAAAATGCTGAACTGAAGGAAAGTAAAGGTCATTAATTCAAAAAATTAAAAAAAACTAACCAGATGTTGGGTCGCCAAATATTTTGTAATCTGGTGTAGCTGTAGTAGGCAAAATTTCTAAAAGAATTAAAGGAACAAGTAATCAGTAAAAAGTAACAAAAAGAAAGCAAAAGATCTCAAACCTGAGTAATGGAAAATAAAAACTAAAATATTACTGGTTACAAAAAAATTCGTCAATATTTTGCTGAAGACCCCAAATAGTTGTAAACTGGTGAAGGAAAGACAAAACTCTGCCACCCAGGACTAAAAAGCTCAGCTTTGTGAACATTCACAGTAACACCAGGTGATGTGTTCATCATGTTACTGAAAAGCTCATCATAAATTTAACATCCATAGTGAGGTGTGGCCACAGACTACTGTTGGACATTATCAACGAGCAGCAATGACTATGCCTTACCATGGCAGTCGCCAAGCTGCGCTGTGTTGCCGTATTCAACATCTTGTATGTATCCTCCGGTGCTGTGGTTGTATGAAACAAACAAAGAGAACCTGCAATTAACAGTATTAGTAGGGAAACAAATGGTGATTTTTTTTTTCCCCTGGAAGCAGCAAATGGAAACAAATACAAGAGCTACTGTATGGCCCAAAAAATTGTTTTACCAAATGCACAAGTCAGTTATACCTAGGCTTTAAAATTCAATCTATGTGCTTACGCTAGGAAATAGAGAAAAGAAAAATCCCTATTTTCAGTAACTTCATCATATCTTCTACACTGGGTGTGCTCTCGGTTTTAGATACGGCCATCCAATTACACTAGTTGAAGTTTGCATAGGCCTGCTACAAAGGCCTCTTTTTAAGATACAGCTGCTAACGCGCTGTATATTACAGAGTTGATTTGTGCAAAATGCCTTTGGTATGCATATGTATCACCCAAGCTCCAGTGTGGAGGCAAAATCTTACTCTTTTCCCAGCTGTGAATCCTGTGCTTTCATATTTGCAATTGACCGTGCCCTGGCCTTGAGCACATCTGGGAGGGGATACTGGGCACTGTCCTCTCTGAGCTGCTCAGGTTTGCAGGCAGCAATTTCTTGCCTTCCTGCTTCCATCCTACAGGTCTTCTTGTCCTCCCACACACATGTAAACCTCCCACTGAAAGCAAGTCTTCATCTAGAGATTACAGAATTAGGTCAGACTTTAGCACTCTGTTCTCTCACATAAACAGTATACTGAAAAACCATCTTAAAAATATGGAGATTTATTAATTGAGTGCAAGGGAACAGGCATAGGATATGCGCTCATGAGGTCTATAAAGCGTATGTAGAGATGCTGGGCTAATTTGAAAAGGAGTACTTACAGCATGCCTGGTGTCACTCTTCCGCATGCCTCGTGGTCTAACCAGCCACAGTATGGGTCCCGTGAAGCAATACAAGCCCTTGCAAGACAAAAACCCCAAAAAATCATGCATTTTTTACTTCCTTCCCAAGAAATGTTGGTGCCCTTCCTTTAAGGGGGAGTTCAGGAACGGGGCCGTACTTTTTACATGACCCGTGACGCTCACACCGACTCAGAGGAATTCTAATGACGCAGCTGGAGAAAGCCACGAACAGAGCATGGTGGTCTCTGTCCAGCTGGAGGGAAATGACTCGTCTGTCCTCCTCGCTCTCAGCGTTACACCTGTTCAGCAAAAATAATGGGAGGCCATTAGTTTAGTAACTGTACTACTCTGCAGCACTTACACTGCAAACATTTTATTTATTCATTGTCTGAGCACAGAAAAGAGACGTTTTACATACATAAACGTAACCTCCTAGTCCTTGATGAGTGATTTCTAAACAAACCTATGGGTTATCAAATGCCAGCTTCTGGCTCTTATTTACAGCTAGGTTACAAGTTCACTGAACTATGTAAGGAAAATATCCAGATCCATTTTCTTTGTTCTCTCAGTCTCATCTCGACAGAGCAGAATAGGAGTCCTGTATTGGACACCTGTAGAGTCTAATTGGAACACCTCCACTCCCAAATTCTTTGTGCCAGAATAAACAAGTTTAAAATTATTAGTTGTAGTTTATACATTATTGGTCACTCTTGAGAAACCCTCAAGATAAGCTCACATCATTTGTTTCGAACAGCAGCAGATCTGACGTTTCCTGTACAGGAAGAAGTGTATCTATTTGCAGAAGAACTAGACTGTATCACTGACGTCACTGGAGTGGAATTAGGTTGTTCACTCAACCCATGCAAAATGGCAAGTGACCAAATATTTTCAAGTTATTCAACATGAGGAACACTGTGAAATGACAAACAGGTGGTGATGTTGGTGATAGTAAGTTGGTTTTTGTTTACCATCATTTTTTTTAGCTAGGTACCAAGGACTAGACGAAGAGCTTAGGTGTTCTGGCAATACTTACTTTGCATGATTATATGCTTCAATCTCTTCCAGTAATACACTGTCATTCAAAGAAAAAGGCCTGGTCTTTGCCAAGATTTTAAGTACTACTCCTGCCTCGGAGCCAACAAATATGACTGTGTAGTTCTGGTGGGGTCCGGCAGCGTGGTCTACAGCAATTGCTGTCAATCTGTATCTATAAAGACCAAAAGGCACATCATTAACAGCACGTTTTCTTGTTTTCTTTTTCACACGCATTATATTTCAACGGTGTCATACCTGACACGTGTTTTGGTAAACCAGGGCTCCTCAATGACTGAGGGAACAGCTGAATCCATCAAAGGATGAGATTTGATGAAGGAGAGTGTTTCGTCTGGGAAATCAATGGAGGTTTTGTAAGCCTCTGCTAGGCCATGTTTTGCACAGCAGCCAGGTCTGAAAGGAGAACAACTTTGTTTTCCTCTTGGTATTTTAGTTAATGAGAGAAGGCAGCCTGCTAATGAGCATCCTTATGACTGAAGTGTAGTCTGCTTTAGTTTTTACCTGACAAGGCACTCGAGAGTGCAGCTGATTTAAGGCAGCTCTTTACTACTAAGGACACTATTATGGCATCATGAGTAAGAACCTCTTACCTTGGCTTTGGTACTTTGTCTTCCGGCACAGCTGTCCAAACAGAGTCAGGAGTCTTTTGTTCTTTAAATCTCCCTTTGAAGACTTTCTCAATGTCATCCATGCTGAAAGCACACACTGCGGAACCAGGGATGCTGAAAATTAGAAAAATAGTTGCAAGAACTCACATTACAGTGGCACCAATCTCAGCATAAGAGAGAACCACAGAACTTCCTTTGACATAAAGTTACTCATCTCTCACCTGTTAAGCTGTGTGGTGAATACACCAACAACCGTGGGGACTCCATTGATTTCTATGATGTCTGTGATAGACTGCAGAACATCAAAGTAGAAGAATGAATCCCCAGGAACTGAGCAGTTGAGCCGAGCTTTCAGAAAGGATGTCCAATGTTTCTCCAAGACTCTCTGGGACCCCCCCATGTCATTTTTGCATATGCGTGCCACACGGGAATACACAGCCTGTGAAGGGCAAAGAGAAAAGGAAAAGGGAAGAAGGCTTGAGCGATGCAAGGAAAACAGTCCTTGTTTCTCAGGTGTTAATAAAACACCAAAGATAATTTTGTTAACAGGAAGCTGCCATTTATCTGCACACAAAGGATGAAAGCAAACTGTGTTTAGCTTGCAGTGCACAGGCATCTTAATGTATCACCAAGAAAATGCAACTCTGCAGCTTGTCCCCACCCTTTTTTCCCTTCAAAATCATATTGTTAGTGAGATTTAAACACTTTAATTAACCATGTGTAAAAGATTTAATAATTTATTATAGAATATTCTTCCATGGTGAGGCATGAGTATTATACTCTGTACTGGCATGACTGAATTATTCAATATCCAGGGACATTAGAGAAACTGCTTTGAAACCCTTCTTTTGTTTTGTTTTCTTTTGTTTCTTTTATAAGCATGAAAAAACCCTCAGATTTTCCATTACTTGCCACAAGTGTTAAGGCAACAGCAACACTAAGGCAACAGCAATACTAAAAGATACCTGTAGCGAGCTCACCGAACAGCAAGGCATAGAGAACTGAAACATGTTTTTGGTTGAAGAATGCACTGTTCCATTTCTCTTTTTGTCCCCCACTGTAAATTATGATGGGAAAACTGTGCGAACATTCTACTAGTCCCTGCTTCAATATTGCAAACTGTGCTTGTTACTGATGCTGTTTTAGGATGATCTCATTCTGCTACAACTCAAGGCTACCTGACAGGTCACCGTGACGATACCTACCTTGCCTAAATTATTGTGCTCTACAGCAATTTCTCGGAAGAAGAAATAAACGTAGTTTCCATATTCTATGGCATGGAGGAAGTGTGGTTCTGTAAGGAAGAGCAAGGAGAAGGTTACTTCAAAGAACAGAACTAGTCAAGCAGGATACAACACTGACTGTGTTGTGTGACAGCAGCTTCTCCACAGGTCCATACCGGCTAACATGAGCGCCAGTCTTCCAGATACTTTACGCTGTCCAAATATGGGTGCACTGGAGCTTAAATGAACTTAAAGTCTTTAACGTTGGCTAATGGACCGCAAAAAGGCCTCACAGAAATTGCATTTCAGCTAAGGTATTTTGTTGCTGCAGATTCATTCATTTAATGTATTTAACAAAGATTCTGCTTTATTTGTATTAAACTGCTTTGTGACTGTAACCTCACTATACTGAAAGCCCCACGTATGCTGACAATGTAGCATATGTGCAAAACACACTGGCTGTGAGTTACCTGACCCTCTGTGCCACTGACATTACATTTGCCATGCTTATGGGAAAATACCCCCCCAAATTACCTTTTATCCATTTGGAATCATACTTTATTGTTCTTAGGGCAGATCCATCCCCCATGCTGCGATAAATAACAGCATCACTTGCCAGGAAATCTGCTACTGTTGCCGAATACAATTTTCCATCTAAAAAGGAAGTTGAAAACCTGGTATTAAGAGGCCTTTAATAATCTACAGAATTCTGACTAGCCGGTATTTTTCCCCATTTCTTTACTGCCACTCTTCCCCAAATTGCTGTAACCTATTTATTAACAGGTCAGCTTCTAATCCTTTGGAGGCCCTTTAAAAAATTTAAGAGCAGGGGCATCACGACACCTTTAGCTTTCCTGTGCTTGCTTTAAAAGCTCTCTGGCTCCTTTGGTGTCATTAATCATTTAGACTCATTACAAGCAAAAGTTCTTACCAGCAAAGAGGGCGACATTGGTTTGTCTGGCATCAAATGGGCATCTTGCCAAACCACTAATTTCCTCCCCATCATACTCTAAGGTATTCAGCTAGAGAAGAAAAATAAATGGGTGATAGTGTCATTTCTATTTTGTACACTGGCACAGAAGCATAACATTGTCTTTCCACAAAACTTAATTCAGCACATTGGCTTCTCTCTGTGTTTATTTCACCTTGAAGCACTCTCCAGTCACACTGGACGTATTTGCTATAGCATAATTAGTGCAAGCAAAACCAGTAACAGATTAATGACACTTTCAATCTTCTTACCCGATAGTATCTGCACATAGGGTTAAATGCATTTGTTCCGCAGACAAACACCATCTCATCATTTCTTGGAACAAAGACTTTAATGAAATTATGGCATTCATCCTGAAAAGAGAGCAAGATGTATTAATCACAGACTTCACTCATGTAATAAATATCAGTTTTTCTATAACATGAGTTCTAAACTTACTTTATGTTTGCCTTTCATAGCACAGTTCTCTCTGTCCTGCTGCCTTGACCTCCATGTCAATTTCTGTTAAATCAAACCAGAAAAGAACATTTGATTCCCTTTCCACAGAAAAATTTTTAAAAAGTTAAAACGAAAGAAAATACTTCTCCCTTGCCAGCACCCACATCTACTCACCTTGCTTGGAGTAACTTCCGATTTTGGAACTTCATTTAAGTTTACAGTGTAAACTTGGTCCCTGTTTCCAAGGAGTAAAGAGACACAAGTAAATTCACTAATTCATTTGCCTTATTTCTGATAAGCTAAATCTATTTTTGGAGTGGTTTTTTTAGACCTGAAACTTCTATGTAATGCTTATGGATTTTCTGTGTTTAATACAAGTCGGAGAAGGTTGGCCATGGGCAGCATGGGGTGGTTTTGATTTTTATTGGTGTGGTCCTTCAATAGCACCTACAGTGTCCAGTTATCCACCTCCATCTTTCCATCCTGTCAAAGACTAATCCAGACTGTAAATATTCAAGTGTGTTATCCTCACTTCCTACAACCCCAATGTGTCAGACCAAGTTTAAAATGATCAGGAGAGGTTTTTATCAGGGCAGTAGTATAAAAGAGGGAAAAGAGTATTTCATCATTGGTTTTAGCGTAACTACAGTTACTGCAGCCTTCAAATCCAATTTTCATGCACTGGCCACAGATACGGTATATTTCTCTGGGAAGTCCTCCCCCAATTCTAATTTTTATCATATTCTGCAGATTTTTTTTCTAAACGAATTTTACACATAAATGCAAAACCAGAAGAGAAAAGAACTTTCATCTAATGAACTGAGTGAAGGAAAATTACCTGCCAGCTATATAAAGTGTGTCTCGAATTTTCAACATCAGTTGGAAGTCCAGTCTGTGCTGAGATTCATTGCCTGAAGGGCGTCCTCTAAATACTGGATATTGCCTTGAATCTGCAAGTAAAAATGGGCTACACCATCACTCAGGATTATAGAGCTAAAGAATCAATATATGGCATTGATTAGCTGTATATACTAGGTGTAGAAGGGTTTAAACTAAATTCCTTGAGTAATGTCTTGAATATAAATGAGAAAAAGATGGCTAATGTCAGCAAATGTTCTTTTTCCTGAAGTTATTGCTGTATTTCTGATTGCTTTTTTAAGAAAATGATTAAGTGTTCTATTAAAGATACAAAGCCAGTAAACACATTCCAATTTGAAAGGAAAGACTTTTTTTTTCTTTTTTAACTTCCCAAGGAAAAAACCTACCAAACAAAAAAATTAAAACTTTCTCCCGAGTCGTTAGCACTATTTGCAGATTACTTACAGTGGTAGTCAACAATGTTAATAGGGTCCTCATCCTCAGGGAAGCTGACAGCTCGGCACTGGGACAGACTCATTAGCATCACGGAGGCACAAAGCAGAGGAAGCCTCATGGCTGGTGGAAGATGAGTACTACCTTTGTGGTAACACTGTTTAACTACCTGGAAAACAGGAATGCACCAGTGAGACGTCAGCAGCAAAGGACAGTAAACATGACTTCCTACAGCAGAAGGCTTTTTCGTTTGTATTCGAGCACTGGCATCAGTGGACTAAACCGGTGCTTATGAAAGGCTCCTGTAGGTACATTGATGGAAAACTGCCGTGTTACATATCCCTACTCAAAGCTGCTCCAAAACATATTGATGTTTGCTAATTTTTAGCTGGATTTACAGGCATTTCCAAAGAAGCTGATGATTGTCAGCCCATTTAATTCGCGGGAATCACAAACAGAACATGCAAGCTGCTGACCTGGCAAGAAAAATTGTCAAACTTCGGATTAGAATTTTAATTAAACTGCAATCTCTTTCCATCCCCTCTATCACTGAATGTCATCCAGTAAAACCCTCTCCTCATAAAATACCTAAATCTTATCCACAAAAAGTCATGACACACACAATCTGTCTGAACATCCATGCCATGTTTTAAAATTATTGCTTGTTTCCAGGCTATGCCATCGTAATACTAAGCCTAACATGCTCATTGCAAAAGACCTTATGCCTAGGACCAGACACTTGATGCTTTGCCTTGTGCAGCCATTACACATGTGCAAAAGTAAATGTAAAAATGCTGCCTCTGCAGTGTGACAGTGCTTGTCACATGCTTTGCAAGGGTAGCAAAGGACTCAAACCGGGGCACAATGCTGAACTGGGTTCTCAAGATGCCACTTTCCCCCTAATTTTATTTGTTACTGTAGAAAGCTAGGAACTTCAGTGACTTTCACGGTGGGTTTTTTTTGGGGTGTGTGTGTGTGCTCTATAGATTATACAGCATATATTATGATAGCACTACAACATTATACAACAAAGCTTTTAAGAGGGGAAGAGAAACATAACTTCTCCAATTAAACCACAGGGATATTTTAGTGAGCAGAATGTAACTACTCAAGTTGCAATTTGGGTAGGATGCAAGAAAACACATCTCAAAGTGAAATGCGATCCTTAATGACCACAAGTGGTCTGGGCAGGGGTTGTATTTCTCATTAGAAACCTGGCAAATGTAGTACTATTCCCTCCTCCAACCTTTTGGAGGCATTCATTCAGCCCTGATTCACAGGTCAGAGCTTTGAGTCACCAGCTCAATGCCTTGCAGTTGTTGAAATTCGTTATTAAAACTCTTTGTCTAAACAGAAAAAAAGGAGCATTTCCATTTTAATGTTTCAAGAATTGTTGTGAGATGTATACGGTGCCAGCACAAAGTGCCAGGACTGATCCAGCAGAGCACATAAGTATTAATCATTTAATAATTTGAAAAGCAATTAAAAAACCCCTTCATAACAACACTTAACCTTTCAGTAATGTTTACTAGGGAGGAAAATACTGTATTTGTTAATTGATGCTATGTGTGGCTAGGGGCAGGGCGGCTTCTTGCTTGTACAAGGCTGCTGAGCTCTGTCAGTTCAGGATGGACTGTAAGAAGACTAACTTAAAGGCTGATAATATTTGGTGATGGGGGTGTTGTCTGAATGCCTGTCCATTACAGTCTGACCTGAAAAAAAGCATTTTCCACTGTTAATGATATTTCTGTATCTCAGTCCACCAGTCCAGAACGAATGGGCTGTGCTCTTAGTCAAGATTGATGAGTGCAGTGGTTAATAAACACTAATGATTCCTGGCACTTTCCCTCTGCTCTTCCTTGTCCTGACATGGCCTCTTCAGCTGAAGCATCTTGCGTTAAATTACTAATGAGCAAACTTAAAGCAAACTGGAATTAATAAAGTTAGTCAAATTAGATCTTTCTTGTGAAAGCACCATTAGAGCAAAGTCCTACAGCACAGTGGCTCCCAGACACAATAACAAATCATTAATGGTTACACAATTTTTATTTTTTTGGAGTCTTTTTTTCCAAGAAAAGCAGGCTCCAAATATCCAACCCACTGCTGCCCCAGTGAAAGAAAAGGGAGGCATAGAAAACATACGTTGAGTCAGCGCACAGTAACATCTGTAAGGTGCTTAGTAAAAGTCCTCCCTGAAGCCTCATTTTCTTGGAGAACAAATGAATACAAATTGCCAAAGAACAAGAAGTTCTCCCAGCCATGTAGGCTTTAGTTAGCATAGAAGATGAAGCTGTTCATGGCCCACACATGGTGACTCAAAGAGACCCTGGCCTGGCTGCAAAACGCGCACAGCCTGCAAACTGTGCAAGTTCTGCCAGTATCAAGCACGGGCACGTATTAGGAAGTTTCTTTCTTCCTCTCTTTCCTTCCAGTATCCCGTCTAGAAAGAATTCACTGGGGCAACAAATACAAAACTTAAATGTAACCTGCCTTACAAAGGCAGATACTGTCTTCTGGACTCCAGGAAATGGCTGCAGAGAACAAAAGGGCAATTTGCTGTGTATTGGCCACAATTGTGACCTAAAAACAAACTGTCACAAAACCAAAAAGGAAACGACCAAAATGCCAGGTAAACAAAGAGAGTATCAGTTCTCTCAACTAGATTCAAATTTCAGGGGGTATATCATACCCCCTAAAACAAGGCAAAATTTTGTAAATGTTAAAACCACAGGATGTGTCTCCCTAGAGACTGCATCCAGATCAGAAACACACTCATGTTTATGTCTTCCCCAAAAAAACCCCAAACCTCTGAATATACTCCAGAGGTGAACTCTGAGAATATGAAAGGTGGGAATAGTTATGTTCGGCAAACTCTTAACTAAACATCACCTGCCCCAAGCCTCTATCAAAGAAAATGTCTACATCTGCATGAAGCACAAACCTTTGTGATGACAGACAAGAGAGAAAAGCAGGCAGAGCCCTGGATTGGATCAGCAAACCATCAGTAATCACTTCTTGCCAGCCAGGTAAGAAGTACATATTTCTTTATTATTTTCCTTGTTAAAATATTACAAGAAAATGAACAGTAGCTCTGATTTCTAGCTACATATGAAAAGAAAAGGCACCTGCTTTAAGAGGCATTTAAATGCACCTTTTAGCTGGCTGGACACAGGCTTGAGATCAGAACCACTGAAAAGAGAATAAACTCGGAAGAACAGCTGTTCCCTGAGTAATCAGAAAAATGGGCTCCATCTAGCCCTTGGAACAGGGGTTTATGACAGCCAGGTGTATGCTTCTGGTAGACACAGATAGGCTGGTGAGAAAGACATAATTCTTGCCACATTCAAACCTTTTAATGGAGGCCAGTACTAGGGACTACAAACAACAATGCTGAAGTATCTGTTTGGACCAGAATAGCTGATTATGAAATGCTGGCAATGTCTACCCTCAAGAAAATGCAGAAAACAATCATACTCTGGGTCTGATTATTTTTTGCCAGCCAGGCTTCAGACCAGTCTTTGATTAATTTCTCTTATAAATTGCATTCCTAGCATTTCTGGTAGGAAGCAATTCATGGCAAGTGCAATGTTTGGAAATTATCATATTGCTATCCCTGTTTTGCAGCTGGGGAACTGAGGCACAGACCAAGGCTGAATCTGTGACTAAGGCCAACCACCAAAAAAGCATTTTCAAAGGATCTGAGCTGCTCTGGGTCACACATGGTCATTCCACGCAGCACAGGCAAATTGGCTAGCGTCACCCAGGTGGAAAAGCTAGTAACAGATCAGAGATCTTCTGCCCATTTGGTCTATACCATAACTAGTTGTGTCTGCAAATACAAAGAAATAGAGGTATAAACATTAACTGGTGGCACAAATCTACATTGGTAAAGAGGACAGCAGCCCGACTGAAACATGTCTCAGGGCAAGTACTGTTGGTCAAGTGGAAGACGGGCAGTTGTCCCAAGTAATAAACTGGCTCTTGGTGGCTGGCACCTTTCAATCTCTGATACGAATCACATCCTTCAATTCCTGATTGGGGGAATCCAGAGAAGCAGGATATCATTTCTCTTAAAATATGAGCCCTCCTTCAAACAATCACACATGAAGGGGAATAGGCTGGTGGTTCTTGCCCATTAATCTACTCCAGCCTTTGACAACGCACTGGTGACACTCCATCAATCATCTTTCTGTGTGCTGCTACAGAAAAGAGGAGCGGGGGAAGGGAAAGGGCATTCAGCCAGCTGGAGAGAAGCAACACATAAAACAGCATCAAACCAGACTGATGCAATGTCTTCTATTAACTAAAAAAAAAAAAAAATTCTGAAAAATCTCCTTAACACAATAAATGCTTCTCAAAATGCTAAGTGCAGACAGGAGTGTGGTATGGCAAATCCAGGCTGAAGTTCAAGATATGTCAGAACGAAATATATATCCTAAAAGTTAGTTCACTTGTGGAGAGTTTGGAGAGGCAAAGGAGAAAAGGGTTGCAATAACAGAAGCTGAAAAACAGGCACACAACATGAAAAGGCTTAAATGACTACCTCATCTTCCTTCTCCACCAGACACAGGGCAAAATCAGGCTGTTAGGTGAGATCAAGGATCTCCTCTGTGCTTGGAGGTATGTGTTAACCATAATGTTGACAGGGAACAGGCAGAATTGATTAGTAATATGCTGAGCTTAGTCAATTTAAGTGATGTGGTTTCCCACAATCCCAAGTCACTGGACTTCAACAGATGAGGAAATCCCTGTTGTCCTCTGTCCCTTCCTGCATGCAAATGGGTCCCTGAGGGCACTAATTAGTGCAAAGGCACTAACTAGTGCATTTCTGAGATGGTACCTTCTGAAATTTTGAGCATGAAACCACTCTAATAATAGGATGAAAGTTAAAATAAAATAAAACAAAAAAATTCTTTACTGCTGCTTGTTCACAGATGCTCAACAAGCTTCTTGGTGCCCAGCTGAGACTTCAGTTCCTCTTTCTGATGGAAAGCAAAGCAGATCCTGTGCAACACTCAGCAACTTCCACTCATCTCAGCCCTTAAGACAACACCCTGGTGAGGGTCACAGTGCATCCTTGGACAGTGGCTTCCAGGGCACTGAGCAGTTGGCCAAATCAGT